CATGCTCCTCCTGTGGTTGCTCCTGATGCTGCAGCCCATGCCGATGCCCCAAGTGGGCTGGAGGCAGAGTTGGAGCATCTGCGGCAAGCCCTGGAGGGTGGCCTGGATACCAAGGAAGCCAAAGAGAAGTTCCTACATGAGGTGGTAAAAATGCGTGTGAAGCAGGAGGAGAAGCTAACAGCAGCCCTACAGGCTAAGCGCAGCCTGCACCAGGTAAAGTGGACAGCAGGCGGGCCATGAAATATAGAAGACCACTTCCTTTTGTCTGCCCAAGCCCTCTTGGGGAGCATTGGGGTTCTTCCCAGGTCCTCTGGAGGACCCAGCTCTGTGAGGCACTTCGATGTCCAGAGTCCTTCTGTGCTTCCAGGAAGGCGTCCATAGTGGTCTCAGCTGCAGCTTTTCCCTGTGTGTGGGGGCCTTACTGAAAGCACTGGCATGTTTTCTTGGCCACGGTAAAGGCCAGTGTCAGTGGTGAGTGAGGAGTGCCTATCCTAGCGATGCCTCTCGCTGTGTCAGGAGTTGGTTTATTCTCCACTACTAAGACTTGTGCTCTGCATATAGAGTGCAGGGATGGCTTCTGAAGCTGCATCTCCAAAAGGAAGTCCATGCTTGGGAGGGGTGTGTGTGCTTACACACTACTTACTGGTTCTTTGGGCTCCACCTCACTGTTTCTAGACCTTCTTTTCATGCTGTTTTGTTTTTCTGACATGAGTAAGGGAGACCCAGTTCTCAGGCAGCCTGGGGAGAGTGAGGAGCTCTTGGCCGGGGCTCAGCATTAAGTCTTTGCTGCAGGCTCAACCTCTGCTGAATTCACACCTCAGCCTGAGTCTGGCAGCTCTGGGGGCAGCCTCACATGCGTGGGCTTTAGCACAACACAACCCTGTCAATCCTCAGGGCTGCAGGATTTCAGATGTTCTCCTCAGAGTGAGTCTTAGTCATTCCCTCATCCTCTCTTGCCCCCATTCTGGGTGGAGGTGTGATTTCCCACATGACTATTCATGGGGGACGGGTGTCATACTGCATTCTAACAAGTGGGGGAAGGGCACGGGAAGTACCAAAAGTAAATGGCTCCCTCTGCACCTCCAGGCCTCAGGTGCAGTGCCTGAGACTGCCTGCTTGGTGTTTCCCTCCCCCACCCATGTGCATGTACATTTGGGAGGAGGAGGAGGAGGTGTGAGAAGGTTCTGATGCAACCTTGATAGAAACAGCCTACAACTAGTAATAGGCTCTCTGCTGGGCCCTGGAGGGAAGCTAACAGTCAGGTCAGTTGACTGTTGGGTGCAGGGTGGGCACAAAGGTGCTGGGCTGGCAGTACTTTGAACCTGTCTGCTACGTGTCTTCCCAGGAGCTAGAATTCTTGCGTGTGGCCAAGAAGGAGAAATTGCGTGAAGCCACCGAGGCCAAGCGCAGTTTGAGGAAAGAGATTGAGCGGCTCCGAGCTGAAAACGAGAAGAAGATGAAAGAGGCCAACGAGTCTCGGGTGCGCCTGAAGCGAGAGCTGGAGCAGGCGCGGCAGGTCCGGGTGTGTGACAAGGGCTGTGAGGCCGGCCGCCTGCGCGCCAAGTATTCAGCCCAGGTACTCGGGTGGGTTGGCTGGTAGACTGACCTGCACAGTGAATATCTGCTATCACAGATCCAACGTCCTCCATTTAACCATTTCAAGCGGATCTGTGAGGTGATGATGTACCATGCCTGGAGGCCCTGAGGTGTATCCAGCAGACCTGGGCCTGGGAACTAGAGACTGTTTTCCATAGCCCAGGTGCTCCCATCTCCCCACCAAGACCATTGTGGCCTCAGAACATAGGCTGCCCTTCCTAGTGCTGGCTTGGGAAGCAAGCTGTAAGCTAGGATCAGGAGATGGACCTTGCCTACTGCAGAGTGGCAGCTTCCAAAGCTTAGGGATCCAGCCCAGGGAGGCAGGGAAGGTCTTTTACATCTGTAGTGCTGTTTGGTTCCCTTGTGGGTCAGAAATATAGGGTGGAAGTGGAGCCAGTTCCTGCTCTGATGCAGCAGATGAGGCTCTCCTAATCCTCAACATCTGGGCCTTTTCCTGTGAGCCTTCAGGTGGGTCAGACATGGCATCGAGGGCTAAATAGGAACTCGGAAGGGAGATGTGGCCTTGAGTGGTAAGTGCTGGTGTTAGGCACTACTGACCACTCAGCATCCCTTTCAGATTGAGGACCTGCAAGCAAAGCTGCAGCATGCAGAGGCGGACCGAGAGCAGCTTCGAGCTGACCTGCTGAGGGAACGTGAGGCCCGTGAGCACCTGGAGAAGGTGGTGAAGGAGCTTCAGGAGCAGCTGTGGCCTCGGCCACGGCCTGAGAATGTGGGTGGCGAGGGCAGTGCCGAGCTGGATCCCTAGCCTGTGCAGTGCCTGCCACTGCCACATGGACTCCATACGTGCGCAGAGGGCGGCGGGTACGTGGCTCTGCAGACCCAGCCCACGCCTCTGCAGCCACACAGCACAACGTCTCTACTGTGCCTATTACCAAGCGAGTGTTTGTAACCACATACTTTTGGAATCCACTGCAAAATTTTCTACTGGCCAAGTTCAAGTGAGCAAGCCATGTCCCCCAGCTGCAGCCAGAGTTGAGACTAGCTCTGTGGCTTGTAGCTGGTCCTCTGCTTGCTAGAACATTCTAACATTTACACTTTTGTTATAAGCTATTTAAAACCAGTAAGAAGACTTGATATTCAGAAAATCAACATGTTTTTTAATGACTAACTGTAAAAGGCCCCTACACGTGACGCCATCTGGACACCCACTCTGGTGGGGGTGGCACCCACCCACCACCGTCCTGGGAAGCCATCACCGCTCATCTGTGCCCGCGGCTGCAAGAGGACAGCAAGGGTTTTCTTCAGAGTCTATTTTTTCAGCCACAAGGACCCCAGTCTTCCTGCTGCTGCCAGGAAGAGCAGGGAGAGTGCCGCGTGCGCGATGAGCCCCAACACTGCCCGCCTTACCGCCGCTGCCCCGCCCACCAACATCACCACTAACCCTGCCGTGCAGGCACCAGGGCTCCTGAGTCACAGTCAGGCCCCCGGATGCCCCGCCCACCTACACCTTGAGGGGCCGACCTGTGTTAGGCAGTGGCCATGGTCCAGTGTCATGTTGTATTGTCCCCATACACACCGCCCACCCACCCACACGCTGCTTGACCACAGCAACCCCTTTTCAATGCAGCAGACATCACTCCTCTCGTCTTGGGACTGAGGCTGCAGCATTGGAACAAAAACAGCATTATATCACTTTTTTCTTTCTTTTTTTTTTTTGTTGTTGTTCATTTAAACATGTATTTAGAACTGCACTTTGTCAGAACCCTCCCTTCTCTTTTTACTCCCCAGTTAACTGAGGTTTTTACTGATTTCTAGAGCAGTTCAAACCCTAAGTGCTCGAGTGCTTAGAAATCCCCTCTGGTGCTTGGTTGAACAAGGGAATCACAAGAAAATGAAAATGCAGAGACTGAACTTGGGGGTCGTTCTGTGCCTTCCAGCATCTTGTACAGCAAACCCTGACTTGTCTTTTTACCCCCAAAATATCGTCTTCAGTAGCGATTGAATCTGCCACTGTCAAAATACGTTACTTGCATTTATTCCAAATAATCTCGTTTACTCTTAACTGTTTATGCAAATTGTATAAGATTTCTTATGCCCAAGCTTGAAAAATGATTTCCTAGTCGACAAGAGGCCACCACCCATCCTCCAGTTGTGTTTATTTACATGAGAAGATCACACAGAAGCCCTCCCTCTGCTCCAGTCCTGACAGGGCAGCCGTGAGCTGAGGGAGGTTGAGATGGCTTGGGCAGGTACAAACGACCTCAAGGACTCGCGCCTGCCTGCGACTGGAGACTGCTAAGCCCTGACACTTGGTGCCGAGGTCGTCTGCAGGGTTTTGCCCTTGGTTTACTGTGGGGGGCTGGGCTGCTGCCAGGTCCCCCCCTTCTGAAGTGCAATGCAAAAGGGACGTCATGTATATGCAGCGTTTATTTGGAGTTTTTTCTTTGGCTTTTTTTCCTCTCAGTTATGAAACTTGTATGCATGGATTTCACATCTCCATAGCTAGACCCACCCATGGGCATTATGACCGTGTCTCCTAAAGGGTCAGTTTTGTTACGCAACACGAAGAATGCTGTTTTCAGCCTTGTTTTTCTAGAGTTGTGTTTTTCAGTCATTTCTTCAAGGAAAACTAAATGATTTAGTTGGAGCAAAGCTTTAAGTGTGTTGGTGTGCTTCTGTGTGGCTGTCCCTGTTGCCCAGTTGGAGATCACAGTGATTTGGGCCCCTCTGAGCCTCGGGTTCCAGGGGCACTTGCTTTTATCAGTAGAGCCTCTCCTTGCCACAGCTTTGGTCACCATCAGTTTCCTGGCCTCCTTGGTCCAGCACTGGCCCCATTATGGGGAGGAAGTACGCTGTCTGCAGCGGAGACTCCTCCTCCCGGGCCAGGGTGACTTGGGTCTGGGAAGGGCTTGTCATCTCATGAGTTGTTCCTCCTGAGTCCCTCCTCCCCTGCTTCCTGTGAGGCCCTTGCAGGCAGTGGGACCAGAGTGCAGGGCTCCCGTTTACCAGAAGCTTGTGATCTAGGTCCTTCTAATGCTTCTGCCAGACGCCGGGCCGCCCCGGGTGAAGCTAGTGAAGCACCGGGTGTTTTGTGTGGCTGCCGAGGAAGGCGGCCCTGCCTGCTGCAGGACCTGCCGTGGACTGAGCACAGCCAGGTACTGCATGCCTGGCTCCCCCTTAGGAAGGCTGCAAATTTCTTTTCAGAGAAAGGGAGGAGAGGTTTCCATCATGTTGGCTGTTGACTCTCCCTGTATGTTAAATCCTTTATCAGTTTACTCATTATTTCTATCCTGAAAATTTTTTAACGAAGGGAAAAAACAACAGCAATAACACTCATTGGTGAGCAGCTAATTCATACACATGACACCCTGCTTTTCATACAGAACTAGCCAATGTAAAAACAACTCACATGTAAATACTTTTTCCATTTCACACCATTGTATTATACGTGTATAGGGTGATTCCTTTTCCAGAAACTTTTCTTACCTGCTGGTTGTCTTGTTTTCTGGGTTGTTTTTAACTGAGGAAAAATTGCTCATCTGCCAGAGGGGACAGAAGCGTCTTGTGGCATTTCCCATGTGGTGTCCTCCATGGCCACCCACTAACCCCAGTTCCTACTCAGAGTATCCTCCGAGGTCTCTCCCCACATGCCCACCCTAGGGTTTGGGGGTGGGGGGTGCGTTAAGTCAGGATTCTCAAATGACATTTTCATCAATTAAAGAAAAATAGACCCACCTCAACCTTCATCACTGCCCAAGCCCCTGCGCCCCCCAGTCCTGTGCTGCTGCTAATGACAATATGATGGCTTACTCTGCTACTCGAGAACTATTTTTATGTAATTAATGTATGCTTTCTTGTTTATAAATGCCTGATTTTAAAAAGGAAAAAAGAAAAAGCTTGGCATATTTATCTATTTCCTTGTGTACCTGTTAGTCCTTTTGCCCCTCCCCTCTCCCCAAACAGATGACGTTGTACAATAAAGGACTTTGAGAGTACCGTGGGCGCTGGCAGCCCCCATACCTGCAGTCAAGCCCTCAGGAAAGGGGGGACAGCATCTCTACAGGTTAGACCTGGGGCTGTGGTCACTCTCAACTGTTACCAGGAACCCTGGACTGGGAACCTTGACCAGGCTGGGACAGGACTCACGGTGGGCAGTGCTGGACAGATGGACTGGGTGTGGCCCTTCCTGACAGGGCTTCCATAAAGGTGGTCTGGATCAAAACTTTCTGGGACATTACATTCCCTCCCCACCCTCCCGCCCAGGAAGCACCTGGGTTGTGTACTATGGAGAAGAGAGTCTCAGAACCATAGACCCAGTGCTTCTCCCTCGTGTTCAGCCCTCCCTGCCTCCTGTTAACCTTCATGGAGCCAGAGTCTTATCCCAGAGTCCGCAGCCTTCACCACAGGAGCCTGTGAGCGGGGCATCAGCCGGCCACACAAGACCAGTACCCCAGTTCTTCCTGTCCCAGTGCCTCCTGGCAGGGAGGGGAGAGCCCTCCATCTGACTTGGCTTCCCCGTCATGCTTGGGGGGCGGGTGGCAGAAGGTTCTCCTAAGAGCTGCAGAAAGAGGAGCAGAAGCGGCTTAGCCTGGAGAAGTCCATCCTAGCCGGGCTTCCCATTCGCCATATCCAGGGGTTCAGAAGAAAACAGTTGGACCCTGGTGTGGTGGTGCCTCCAGCACTAAAGAGACCAACAGAGTTGAATCACCACAGGTTTAAGGATAGACGGGTCTACGTAGTTCCAGGACAGCCTAGTGTATTTGTCTTATGAACCTTGTCTCAAGGGGTGTGGGGTGGGGGTGGTGGGGCAGCTCACAGGTCATCACTGAGGGTCTGGCAGCCTAGGCATGAACTGAGAAAAGAGCTGTGCTGTAGCACTGGGTGACCAAGGGCCTACTGAGGCTGGGGTCTGGACATGTGTTCTTTTCAATGACTATGGATGACTGTTAGAAGCCATCTCTATAACTGGTAGGATGGATGCATGAAAAATGAGGAGTAGCCAGAGGAAGGCCTGATTGCAGACAACCTTGGCATCGAGTGCAGCAGAATCTATAGGAGCAGGAGGCAGGGGAAAGGCATGCAGCTGGCCCTGGGGCTCTCAGCTCCAACAGCAGCTTTCTGCAAGGCTTCAGATCAGCCTCCTGTCTCGAGTTGACCTAGGCTTCATCTCTGGATGTGAACTTAAGAGAATTATGGGTACCCCTGGCCCAGAATACATCCAAAGGGAACCAGGACCCCTGGAAGGGTTGAAGGAGGAGAGGCCTGGGTGAATAACCCCCCCCCCCCATCCCAGGCCTGGCTGAGGTCTCCTACATCAGCCAGGGCCTCTATGGGCATGGCTGCCCCTGGACTTAGCTGCAGCTCTTGAAACCCCATCTTGGATGGTACCTGTTTCCAAGTTTCTCAAGACCTAGGGAACCCCTGAGTAGAGCTGGCAGCTCTCAGGTGGTCCTAATTCCCACCCATGTTCTGTGACATCCACATTTTCACTTGTACTCGGTCACCAGGAGTCACACCCTGCCTTGCCCACTAGCAGTTGGACTTACTTGTCTCCTGGCCCTACCTTCCACCCTAGAGTCAGGGGGGCTGGCCCCAGGCCAGACAAGCTGTTATTTGGAAATACAGATCCCAGGCTTCTTCCATGGAAAGCCTAAGTGTTGCTTGAATCTTAAAAGGTCTTACAGTAAGAAACCTGGTGCCAGATATTGGGGTAAGTGCTGAAAGGCCAGAGAGACAGGAACAAGCCACTGCCACATTTCACCAACTCCACGAATCCTCTGATTGAAATCCTTACCCGAAAGACTCCAGCTGAAAAAGCCTTCAGTTTCTGTCTCATGCCTTATATACGAGTTTCTCTGCCCAGCCATCACTTCCTGTCTCAACCTTCCTAATGCTGGGATTAAAGGCAAAGTGTATGCCACCACTGCCTGGCTCTGTTTCTCTTCTAGACTGAATCAATCTCATGTAGTCCAGGGTGGCTTTGAACTCACAGAAATCCAGACGGACTTCTGCCTCCCGAGTGCTAGGATTAAAGGTGTGTGCCACCACTGCCTGGCATCTGTTTAATCTAGTGGCTTGTTCTGTTTTCTGATCTTCAGGCAAATTTTATTAGGGTACATAATCAATCACCAATGTCCTGTTAGTATAAAGCCAGTCTGGTCAGCCCTTCATCCTGCTCATTCCCTCTGTAGTGATAGCCTGTACCTTCTACATGCCCCACTTGTCCAGAGGCCCATCTCCTCCCTCAGGCCATCCAGCCCAGACCCTGACCTAGGCCTGCCACCTCTGTCTATACCTGCCTGGCACCTGCTTTGAAGCCTGTCCTGGGGCCACAGACTTCTCCCTGGCCCCACCGTGCAGGCCTGAGTTAGAAAAGGACTCTGCCTGCTCTGCAAGAGTTCTGGTCCTGTTTTTGGTGGCCTAGGTGTCTGGAAGCCCTGGAGTCCATTCTGTACAAGAAGTAGACTCCAAAAGCAAAAGGCAGAGTTGTGACTCAAGATGCTAGGCATGGAAACTTGCCCCACAGACACCCAGTACGTGGCGAAAATTCATTGTTTCCCCTCTCCCCAGCCAGGTGACCCTGGGGAGGGGATGAGGACGGGGATATTTGAGGCCTGGATGCCTGTCCACCCCTGCCACCCCATGGTCTTGGTGACACATAAGGCCATCTGTGATCAGGCCTGTGCCAGGTTGGTAGGAGTCTTGGCGTCAGGGGCACCAAGCCCTGGAACAGGTGGCCCACTGCAGGTGGGCACAGGCAGGAGGAGTTGGCTAGCCTAACTTGTCTTCATAGTATCCTGTACTGGGCCAGGTGTCCGGCCAGTTTGGGATGGGCCGCCCTCTCCCTGAGTATGGACCTGGCAGGAAGCTGGGCCCATGCTTTGGTCCACATTGATCTTGATACACAAAGGCCTATTTGGGAAACCAGGGACAATACATCCAAGGGAATCAGGGAACTTAATGTGGGGACCCTCCCAGGATCTCCAGCAAAGGCCGACCTGAGGGTGCCCCTCAGCCCTCCCTATAGCTGTTCCATGGCAACTCTCAAATGTCAGGGGCCATGTGCTCAGTTCCACTGCTAAAAAGGAAGCTGCTTAGCTTAGCCAGACTCAGGCCACTAACCCAGTCTCACTTAGGCAAGCCGGGTTTCTCATGCTTCCTGGGTCCTGTGCTGGCTCTTACAAGCTGCCCGTTCACCCCCTGTTCACCTTCTGTCAACCCCGTCCTGAACCCCAGAGGATTTCAAGTGTCCATGATCAGCGGACAGTCTGTCCCCAACATTCAAGTTTATCCTCTTACCTGCCTAGTCTCAGACTCTGCCTCCCCTTCCCATCTGGGCTCCTTCTGCGAGTGGGCCCTGATCCAGCAACTGCTCCTCAGTGGGAACCGTTCCACACTGGCTACTTAAAGGAAAATATATATCCCCAGATCTCTGCCTGCCTGATGAGCTGGGGGGAACTAGCTGTCCCAGGCTCTTGAGGAACTAGAGGTGACTGCCTCTAGAGAGGGAAACAAAGGTACCTTCACCCCAGTCCTTCCCCCTGCAGCTGTACCACCAAAATGAGAGGGGCCAGGAACACGGCTGTGGGAGCGTCCAAATCTACGTACTTTGTGTCTGTGGTGGGATATAGGTTTCTTGTCCTTGGGACACTTGTCTGTTCTAGCATGTGTACATGTGTGCACTGCGTATGCATGTGCAGGGCAGTAGATTGGAGAAGGGACCAAGGACATCTGCAGGCCCTGGGGCAGTCCTTTGTGCCCACCCCTTACCCTTGGGGAGAGGCTCAGACCCAGATGGATTTGTCAGGCAAAGCAACAAGGCCTAGAACATCTGGGAAGGCCAGGACACGGGATTCAGAGGAAGATCCTGTGTGCTGTGTCTCACTCTGGGCTTGGACACATGGGGCTCCTGCTTGAGGCAGGGTTCACCGCAGCAAGAACCTCACCCTGCTGCCTTTATGGGATAGACATGTGGTCCACATCTCAATTTCCTGTTTCTATGGAGGAACAGCTCCAATAAGAGGCTCTGGTGGAGCTGGGCGGTGGTGGCGCACGCCTTTAATCCCAGCACTTGGGAGGCAGAGGCAGGC